CAGGAAATTTCAGAACACTGAAGGACGAAGGTTTCAAAAGCTTCCCCAGTGAGAGAAAAACAAAAAACACTCACGTTAAAAATTTTAAAAATCACTTTCAAAACAGCACTGAACTCAGTGACACTGGAGTGAGAAGATGGAGCAGTGCCTTCAAACTCCAGGTGAAGACCATGTCCCACCTGGAGCTCCAAACCAGTCAAGCCATCAGCACCGGCAGAAGAGCACACCTGCAGACACGCGGGAAACATCCCTGTTTAACTGCTCGAGAACCCCCTGCCCCCAAAAAACCGATTCCCCCAATTGAGGGAGGAATACAGGAAGGGTCAAAGACACAGGACCCGAAAACATAGGGCTCTGCCCATGAGAAGGCATGGGAGTTCCAGGCAATGGAGAAGGTACCCCCATGCACAGCCAAGGAGCTCAGAGGGACAGGAGCACGACCACAGGGGGAGGAGGGGGAGGTGGGAGAAACGACGGACAGACCCGCTGAGACGGCGACAGCAAAGAAGGGTCTGAGAGTGCTGTCCGAGGGCTTGGGAATAAATCTGTCACTGCGCACTGAAGACCCATCAAAGGGAGGGGGGACGCAGTTGTTAACTCTAGAAAGAAAAAGTCTCATAATAAACATCATGGTCAGAGACATAATAACAGAAATCTGTGGACTACCACACAAAAATGTCAGCTCGACTTCATCAAAGTTAAAACCACTGTCACAAACATGAAGGACTGGGAAAAACATTCACAAAATACATACCTGACAAAGAAGTCATATCTAGGGTACATAGAGAACTGTTATAACTCACTAAGACAACAAAACCCGAACAGAATAAAGGGAAAGATCTGAGGGCCGGCCCATGGCTCACCCAGGAGAGTGCGGTGCTGATAACACCAAAGCCACAGGTTTGGATCCTATATAGGGATGGCTGGTTCGCTCACTGGCTAAGCCTAGTGCTGACAACACCAAGTCAAGGGTTAAGATCCCTTACTGCTCATCTTTTGAAAAAAAAAAAAAGGGAAAGATCTGAACAGATGCGGCCCTAGAGAAGGACGCAGGGCACGCAGGCGGCTGACAACACCAAGTCAAGGGTTAAGATCCCTTACTGCTCATCTTTTGAAAAAAAAAAAAAAGGGAAAGATCTGAACAGATGCGGCCCTAGAGAAGGACGCAGGGCACGCAGGCACGGGCGAAGACACCACGCTGTCAGTTGACTACAGAAACGCAGTGTGCTAGTGCCCACGCTGGAAACCACGGAGACATCCAAGGACAGGTGACTGTCGAAGCAAAGTGCAACACATCCAAACACGGAACACTACCGGGCAATAAGGCACAAGCTATCAATACACGCAACAACATGGAAGAATCTCAAATAAAAATAATCGTGCAGCCTGGAAGAAGCCAGGGAGGGAGAGCGCGCACCGTACGTGTCCACTCGCACAAAGCCCCAGCACGTGTGCACTAGACTACAGCACAGCAGGCAGATCGGCGGTCGCCAGGAGGGCGAAGACCACGGCAGGATAGTCTCCCAGACAAGTTCACTGCCTAGACCGTGGCAATGGCCTCCCAGGTGTACACACACATCAAAACTCATCACACGGTCCGCCTGACTATGTGCAGTTCACTGTACATTGCCAATTACACCCAATCAAGCTGTAATGAAATCACAATATGTATATGTGCCCTAGCTGTGAAAAGGATTTGCATCATCATCACATAAGCCCTGTACACTGATTTAAGCAAAAATTTTGATAATTAAACTGAGTGGGGCAAGAGAAGAACATTATGAAAGAGCTAAATCCAAATTTTCCATAGTAACAATTCAATAAAGTCTAAAATTGAAAAAATAAGGAGGAACAGCACAAGCCTGCCTTTTCAGACACACGGAAGCAAACAGAAAATAGCACACGCAGCTGACAGTCACTGCCTCTGCAAAGTGGCACTCGGGCCCAGTGAGGAGGGTGGGCAACTGGACCAACTTATTTTTTTTTTTTGCAGCTGGCCAGTAACTTATTTTTAAACCGAGAGTGTGCTGCTTTAAAAAAACTCAAATCCCAACCACTCGGCCAAGCAATCCACTCCCAGGTACGTGCCCAACAAAATGAAAACATGCGTCCCCACACACTTGTACCCGAATGTGCACAGCAACAGTATTCACGACAGCCGGGAGGTGGAAGCGGCCTGGACGGCCACCGCCGATGAAGGGTAAACAAAACGCGGTCCACCCATACAATGGGATATTATTTAGCCATAAATAGGAATGAAGCATTGACACACACAACGTGGATGAACCTTAAAATACGTGCTGACTGAAAGAAGCTGGGCACAAGAAGACACGAATTCTATGATTCCACTTATAAGAAAAGTCCGGAACAGGCAACTCCACACAGAAAGCAGATTAGCGGTTGCCAGGGGATGAGGAGGGTGGAACGGGGAGACTGCTAACGGGTATGGGTTTCTAAGGTGATGAAGTGTTTGGAAGTTATACCAAGTATTGGTTGCACATGTGAAATACACTAAAACCCATTTGACTGTGCATTCTGCATGGGTGAACTCTGTGGCATATGAATTATGTCAATAAAGAAAAAAATTTGACTCCTGGAGCAAGGCTGGCATCTGGCCGGCCACCTCTGCAGACGCAGAGGAGGGACTCCACTCTCTCAATCAGCCACAGGGCAGAATTCAAAAAGCACACGTGGACAGGACGTTCCCTGACTTGTGGGGCCCCTGCCATGGCTCCCCAGTGCCCCCTTCCCTGCATCCGCCTGCTCCAGGGCTCAAGGACACAGAGTCCCGAAGAGCACTCTGCCAAGAGGAAGTTCTGGGATCTCACCACAGTTTCGAACACACCCACCCCCCTGGCTGTGGGTCCTCGTGGGGCCTGGAGTTTCCCCTGGGCACATCCCACACTTGCGTGTTACTGTGGGGAGAAGCAACTGCCCTCTAGCACACGTGTCCCCTGACTTGCAATTCATCATGATAAGAAAACGCCCCTTTCACAGACACACACAGGGTATCATGCACAATCTCCCTCTGAGGGGGTCAGAGGCCAGGCTGCAAGGGGGGACACCTCCTCCAAACTCTGCAGACCCAGCCTGTGGCTTGGGAGCCCATCCACCACACCGGACAGGCTGCATCCCAGGCCCGGGGAACCCCACCACGCAGCCCTCAGCTCTCACTACCCCATGGGGCTGCCAAGGGTTCCAGCAGCTCTGTGTCTGCAAGAAGTGACACACTTTTCCTCTCGAGCCATCGGGGCTGGCGAGAGCCACGTGGCCTTCCTTCTGGACGTCGAAGAAAGTCCCCATCCGCACAGGCTCGACCAGGCGGCATATACTGTCCCCTCCGCCTTCGTCCCCAACCTATGCCAGTCCATGGCTATGTCTGTCCACACAGCAGCGCCTCCTAGAACTCTGGCTGCTGCAGGGACCATGAGAGCCGGAGCACACACCCCCGCAGCCTGCCCGAGGGCCCGGCACACCTAGGCTTGTTGTCCTCAGACGGGGCAGCTGCAGAAGCGAGTGCAAAGCCCCAAGTCAACAAGTCTGACTACTGGTGCGGGACGTGGAGATGGGGAGACGGGGAGTGAGGGCGGGCAGAGCTGCGTCAGTCGGTCTCTACCCGACAGCCATGGCATGGGGAGACAGAGGCTGCTTCTAGGAGCTGGAACTAACAGGCAGGAAGAGAAACCCAGCCCCCCACCCCCACCTGCCAGTACAGTCGAGAGGAGCTGCCAGGGCTGGGAGAAAAGCAGAACAGAAGGAACCAGGGCTCGGCAGACTGACCCCTCCCATCACATCAACCCCTGTCCGTGCACTCGCACTGCCAGACACTGACCACTGCCCAGAAAGGTGACCTCAAGGAAGTGTCCACAGACAAAATGCCAGACGCGGAAAGCCTGTCCTGTGTGGCTAAAGGGTGGACGGATCCAAGCGGTTTCTTGGCCAATTTAGGCTTTCCCGTTTGTGGAAGGCCAGCCTCCCTGAGAGCTGCCAGTGAGCGCAAGCCAGGCCAGCCCCAGGCTGTCCCCACAGCCACGACATCCCCGGCAAGGCAGAGATCTCAGCCACGGCACCGCCTTCCTGGGTCAGGAGGACCACAGAAACATGGATCCCGCCTAAAGCCCCACCTGCAACACCACTGCACGGGAGCCTGTGACTACCTGTCCCCACAGCCACGACATCCCCGGCAAGGCAGAGATCTCAGCCACGGCACCGCCTTCCTCGGTCAGGAGGACCACAGAAACATGGATCCCGCCTAAAGCCCCACCTGCAACACCACTGCACGGGAGCCTGTGACTATCCATGTTTCATACGGGTCCCGATCATAGACCTAATATGAGCTCATTGTAGGGAATTTGCAAAACATAGAAAAGGCTTAAAATAACAATCCACCCCAGGAATTCAACCTGATAACACTTCTGGGGTCTCCTCCTCCATTATGAGATGCATGTGTGTGGGACGTACTTAAAATCAAGGTCACACTGTACTATGGGTCTGTGCCCTTTTCCACTCATTTTTAGACCAGAAACCATCATCCAAGTCTAATTTTTCACACAGATCTGCTATGTTGGACGTTCAAGTTCTCTTTTTTTTGGTGTTTGGCTGGTACAGGGATCCAAACCTGTGACCTTGGTGCTACAAGGCTGTGCTCTAACCGCTGAGCAACCAGCCAGCCCTCCAACCAAGTTCTGCCTTGACATCTTTAAGCATGGATTGGCGACACCTCTCCACCTCAGCTGTGCTCCTCAGGGGAGATGGCCCACCACTGTGAGCTCTGCACAGCACCCCAAGGCTGCCTGGTACACCCCACTTTCAGTGGGGAGTGCCCCCCACAGCCATCACCAGCTCTGAGGCTTATTTTCATCTTAAAAAAATCCTTTCTTATTTGACAGGTGACTCCTGATTCCCAATCAAATAAGGACCAGACACAGGACAGGCTCCCACAGCCAACACCCGCAGGGGCCTCCGGGGCTCTCTGCAAGTTGGGGTCTTCAGGGTCTTACCAAGTTCTTTGGAGCCCTGGCTCTCGCTGGCCAGCTCCCCCATCTTCACCAGGGCATC